GTACAGGGTGGAGTTATTATTATTATTACATAGTATTTATATAGCACCAACAGTTTGCGCAGCGCGAAAGACATTGCAATTTCAATTCAAGTCAAGATGGTAAGGAGGGCCCTGCCCCTGAGGGCTTACAATCTAAAAGGGAGGGGCCAGTTATACATGAGGAGGGAGCTGTGTGGGGATGAATTTTGAGAACAGGCTGGTTCAGTGGTTAGGTTGAGGTGGGATAGTTGGCCTTTAACTGCGAAGTATAAGTGAGCTATGTATGGGTATGGTGCTTAGTAATGAACCGTATATAACTGGGACAATGCAAAGAATTTCTTGTGAGCCAACAAGCAACTAAAATATTCTCCTTGTCCACTTGACCATTTTCAGTAACAGTTGCCTCATTTCTATGTATTGGAGAGCCGGGATTTCACCTTTATCTCCTTCTTTTCTCACATTTCTTTGTTTCAGTTGATTTTGGAGTCAGCGCGCAGCTGGATCGCACTGTAGGCAGAAGAAACACTTTTATTGGAACTCCGTACTGGATGGCTCCAGAGGTCATTGCTTGTGATGAGAACCCAGACGCCACATACGATTACAGGGTATGTCATTGCATTATGCCATGGTAGCTTTTGTATCACCCTGCAGGAGGAGGACAGACTCCTAGCTCCCTTCTATGTATCACCCTGCAGGAGGAGGACAGACTCATAGCTCCCTTCTGTCTGTATCACCCTGCCGGAGGAGGACAGACTCATAGCTCCCTTCTGTCTGTATCACCCTGCCGGAGGAGGACAGACTCATAGCTCCCTTCTGTCTGTATCACCCTGCCGGAGGAGGACAGACTCATAGCTCCCTTCTGTCTGTATCACCCTGCCGGAGGAGGACAGACTCATAGCTCCCTTCTGTCTGTATCACCCTGCCGGAGGAGGACAGACTCATAGCTCCCTTCTGTCTGTATCACCCTGCCGGAGGAGGACAGACTCATAGCTCCCTTCTGTCTGTATCACCCTGCCGGAGGAGGACAGACTCATAGCTCCCTTCTGTCTGTATCACCCTGCCGGAGGAGGACAGACTCATAGCTCCCTTCTGTCTGTATCACCCTGCCGGAGGAGGACAGACTCATAGCTCCCTTCTGTCTGTATCACCCTGCCGGAGGAGGACAGACTCATAGCTCCCTTCTGTCTGTATCACCCTGCCGGAGGAGGACAGACTCATAGCTCCCTTCTGTCTGTATCACCCTGCCGGAGGAGGACAGACTCATAGCTCCCTTCTGTCTGTATCACCCTGCCGGAGGAGGACAGACTCATAGCTCCCTTCTGTCTGTATCACCCTGCCGGAGGAGGACAGACTCATAGCTCCCTTCTGTCTGTATCACCCTGCCGGAGGAGGACAGACTCATAGCTCCCTTCTGTCTGTATCACCCTGCCGGAGGAGGACAGACTCATAGCTCCCTTCTGTCTGTATCACCCTGCCGGAGGAGGACAGACTCATAGCTCCCTTCTGTCTGTATCACCCTGCCGGAGGAGGACAGACTCATAGCTCCCTTCTGTCTGTATCACCCTGCCGGAGGAGGACAGACTCATAGCTCCCTTCTGTCTGTATCACCCTGCCGGAGGAGGACAGACTCATAGCTCCCTTCTGTCTGTATCACCCTGCCGGAGGAGGACAGACTCATAGCTCCCTTCTGTCTGTATCACCCTGCCGGAGGAGGACAGACTCATAGCTCCCTTCTGTCTGTATCACCCTGCCGGAGGAGGACAGACTCATAGCTCCCTTCTGTCTGTATCACCCTGCCGGAGGAGGACAGACTCATAGCTCCCTTCTGTCTGTATCACCCTGCCGGAGGAGGACAGACTCATAGCTCCCTTCTGTCTGTATCACCCTGCCGGAGGAGGACAGACTCATAGCTCCCTTCTGTCTGTATCACCCTGCCGGAGGAGGACAGACTCATAGCTCCCTTCTGTCTGTATCACCCTGCAGGAGGAGGGCAGACTCATAGCCCCCTTCTGTCTGTGTCACCCTGCAGGAGGAGGACAGACTCATAGCTCCCTTCTGTCTGTGTTTCTTTACTACTTTTCCCCGAACTTGTCTCTTGCTCAGTTGCTATGATATGATGGACAACAAGACATAAGGAATTCAGCCAATGTATACACCAGCTTTATACTACTACATTTCCATATTATTTTAGGTTTATTAACCAGTGTATTTCTTTCCTTACAGAGTGACATCTGGTCTCTGGGAATCACTGCTATCGAGATGGCAGAAGGAGCTCCACGTAAGTGACTTTTACACTAGTAATCTGCTTTTGCCTTTTACATTCGTTTGTAGATCTTCTGGAGATGAAATATTTTGCATATTTAAAGCCGACTTTCAGACAAATATTTTTTTTTTCTTTTTAAAACCTCTTATTGTCTCTCAAGTCAAAATAAAGGTCCCCTGCATCCTTTCTGCAATCTCTCCACATTCCGAGTACTCTCATTTTTATCAGTGTAAGACAATGCAAAGAAATTTCCTTCTGATTCTGCCTTCTCCTTGAAACGCTGGGTCCATTGGACTTCATATCTATTGTGCATGTCCTGGTCTGAGCTCCACCAATGCCCAGTGGTAAAAGGGGACGTACAGCTTGTGCATATGTGCTGGTGTACTCCTCTTTCAACTCCGAGAGCGCTCTGCTCGCAGCTTATTTAGGAATGTGAGTGTTGTGTATTCATTTAATAAATCGTTATAACTAGGGATGCACCAATACTAGTACTTGCACTCACCCACATGCTCAGTTACCTTTCCCGAAACTGGAACTTCCGTTCAGAGGGAGATTTCCTCTGATCGGCAGTGCCGCGAAGAAACATAGAGCCGGGAATCTGGCTCCATGCTGTTTGGCCGGCTCGATGTCAATTGGCCGGGAAGCCGGCTTCCCAGCCAATCAGTGTCCAGCCGTGCAAACAAATCTGATAATATGGCAACACATTCCCCACCCCCCCCTGCAGGCACCTCAGTCCCCTCACATAGATCCTTAGCAGCATTCATTAACGAAGCATTCCCTCGGCCAGCTGGGCAGACAACGCTCTCTAAGCTCTCCGGTATCTGCCGTCTCCTATGTGTACAGCGCCCACAGTCTGCACATGCGCAGTAGCAGGTTGTACACACAGGAGACGTGGGCAGATCCCAGAGAGCTTGGAGAACAGTATCTGCCCAGCTGGCTGAGGGACTGCTTACGTTAATGAATGCTGCTAAGGATCTATGTGAGGGGAATGAGGTGTCCGCAGGGTGGTGGTCGTGACACCAGATCCGTTTTGGCCGGCCTCTATGCCAATCCGCATCCAGCCGGCCAAACAGAATGGAGTCGACTTCCCGAGCAATCAATTATGCCGGGCAGTGGGTAGTGGCACGCCGCCTGGCTTCCTGATTGCCTGGGAAGCCAGCTCTATGCTACTGGAAGTACCGGTATCGGCGAGTACTGAAATATAAATATCGGTACTATCGGTCTTTGCATCCCTAATTATAACCCAATTGAACCTTCTTTATTTATTACTGTAATGCAGGCGGACTGCCTTTTGAAGTACTACAATTTTCTTTTTACAAATGATGTGTTTCAGGAAGGGTTGCAATATCCTGCGTGCTGGCAGCACATTGGGGAGAAAGACCACCTCTCTCACACAACATAGAGGTCCGATATGCCCTTGCCACGCTACTCCTATAAACACCACTACTCATGGAGTTCAAGAGTTGATTGGAGCATTGTGCGGGATGGGCTTGGGGCCCCCTGGACTGTGAGAGAGGCGGTCCAACTCTCCATGGTGCTGCCAGTACACCGGTTATTTTAACTCTTGCTGTATCGCACCGTATCAAAATAAAAGGAGTGACCATATGTATTACTGTACCGATCAGCTACACAGTCACTGTTCAGGCATTCTGACCATGGGACATAGGTCAGTGTGAATCAAGAGGTTTTTTTTTTTTTTGGGAGGGGGGGGGTCCATTTTTAGCTTCATGTTTAGTGTATATCCAGCTTAACTGTACTGTCTTCCTTTATCTTCTAAAGTGCTGCGCAGACTGTTGGCACTGTGTAAATCTTGTATGGCAATAACATGCTGTGGCATAATATAAAACTGTCAGGACGTACCGTATGTAGTAGCACACCTGTGTACAAAGCTGTGTGGCCCGAGTTCCTCTTTTGTCGCCGTTGGGAATGTTCAGCAAAGCCGTCCATACGGCACTACAAATGTTCAAAGTCGACTCCATTAGCTGCAGGGGAAGACTAGCTGTGCTTGTCTAGTTCATTGAACACTGCAGAGAGCCTGTCTGCCTTTTTACCGGGACACATGAGCTTCAGATGTACTGACTTGCCTTCAGTGCGGATGTAGAGTGCCCGTTATAGAGGTAGGCCAGCTCCCTATAGAGTTCAGTACAAAGGCTCATCTCGGCTTCCCATGCTTTAGGGCGAAGCATAAATAGTCAGGTCTTTTGTACTACCAGCATGAGCACAAGCTACTACCCTGTTTCCCCTAAAATAAGACCTACCCCAAAAGTAAGGCCTAGCACTATTTTTCAAGATTCCTGTAATATAAGACCTACCTCGAAAATAAGACCTAGTTTGATGGTAGCATGTGAGGGGGAACTTGCAGGAGAGATGGTATCAGCCTGCAGGGACACACTGTATTAAGGGGATGACAGGGGACTACCTCCGGCCAGCGCAGTGACAGGGAGCACTCCAGTACCATACTTCACCAATTGCTGCCCCTGAAGGCACCGATGCTGGCGACGTACACTGTACGTCAGTCACGAAGGGGTTAATGTAATGGTACTGTAATGTGTACCGGTAAATGATACCGTACTTTACCGCGCTGGCTACTGTCTGATGTCCCCACTGCTGCACCGCTGGTACCACTGTCCCTGGTGGCAAAGGAAGCCGGCGCTGAAGAAAGCAAGGCGGCGGAGGGAGCAGAGCCGCATTAGACGATACTTCCTCTATAGCGCCGGTTACTGTGACAGGCGGAGTGATACCAGATAACGTTGGATTGTTGTACATCAATAACTTTAGATTGTTGTACATTTTTGTTGCACATTAAAAAAATTTAAATAAGACATCCCCTGAAAATAAGACCTAGTGTGTTTTTTTGGGGCAAAAAAAATATAAGACAGTGTCTTATTTTTGGGGAAACACGGTAGTCAATTGCTGAAGCCAGAACAACACATAGTTGTGAGGCAAGCCTCCTATTAGCACACAGCCATTTTTAAAGGCCAGGTGTATATTTGTGGTAAGCGTGATGTCATGCCACCCCATTGAATCAGTGCCCAGACTTTTGAACTGATGACCACCAGTACAATGTCAGCCAGCCTGTACTTGGTCTGCGGAAGGATTTACCTGTCATGCCACATGACCACTGCTAGCCAATCAAGGTGGGCATAACTAGAAAGCTTCTTTCAAGGCATTGGAGTGTGGTAACTGCTATTGCAGACTTGGCTTTTAATGGTACACAAGGGTTTGTCATCCTGGCTTTGGCTTGACTACTTAATGGCCTACTACATGTGAGGGAAAAGGTAAAAATCTTTGTGATACACCAAGGGCCCATTCACACCTCTCCATGTGCATTAAAATCTGCTTATTAATGATCGTTAATGCACCGCATGTTATATACCTGTTGGCATTCATTTTGAAAGCCCCCCCTAGTGTGCTGTGCATTGAGACTTTAGTTGCCCATTCAAAGGTGACATGCCTTCTCAAAGGTCCCATAGGCTTGATGGGGACAATGCTCCGGCAGTAAAGGTACAGACCAGGTCTATGGGATTTTAATGAGCAGGTGCAAGTGGCTCGGCACTATGTTTTTACCGACCAGGCTGCATACAGTGCAGGAGGCCACAGCTATCGGAGGAGGACATGCGGGGGAACTGGAGGGGTGGGATGGCTATTGAGGGGCATAGGGGTGAATGAGACCTAATCTGTGGCAGATAACTTATTGCTAGCCTAATGGGTAAATGTAAATGAGGCATCTCTATATGCAAAGCTTCTGTGGCTAAGATCACACATTACTCTCAGGGCTTATCTATAAAGGCATCGCCCAGCGTATAGCTGCGCGACTGCCATTCACATGGCTTTACAGCCACCAGGTGGAGCTAGAGGAGAATAGGAATTTCCTGTGCTCAATATGCATGGTGTCATTGACTCGCTACCTGAGAGGGAGTCATCACAGCTCCATGCACTCAGTGTAATGATAGAGCAGTGGTCAATAAATGGCAGACCGTGGTCCAGACACAGACCAAAAGGAGGTTCTGTCCAGACCACAGTCGCCGATCTGCACAGGGTTGTGGCAGGCAAGCTCCTCACCGAGTCCACTATTCAGTTTTATTCCCCGGACCCCCTTGTATTATAATTCACTACCCGTGATCTAGCGAGTGGTGTTGACATCCCCACGGGTGGCCCAGTTCCAGAGAAGAGGTGAATAGGACCATGTTGTAATGGAAAGGAAAGCGTACCAGGAGGTCAGCCCCACCTTCCAGAAAGGTGACCCCATGACTGCACCAGACTTGCATAGAACAGCTGTACACCTTTCATCAGTGTATACCAGTTCAGTGATTCATAAATGTGTTCCACCATTCCTCTTTAACAATCTGAGGAGAAACAGGAAACCTATTAGACTGTATACAATCCATCTTCTTTCAGTTTTCTTTCTTGCTCTCTCTCCTCAGCTCTGTGTGACATGCACCCGATGCGGGCCTTGTTCCTCATCCCCAGGAATCCTCCTCCCAAACTGAAATCCAAGAAATGGTGAGTAGGAGATTTTCGCCATAAACACAATTACAACCTTCTAGTTCCAGACACATTGAGGGGTTATAATAGGATCAGTCAGTAAAATGCAGACTTGAGTCAGCAGGATACATACCGCAGATGAAGTACCGAAGTATCAAACTACCTACAAAAACACAGCGGGGATGATTCAGTTTAGCATTTGCAACACTTTTCTGACGGTAAGAATGTCCTGCGCCAGAATCAGAAAAGCAATGCGGCTCTCTGTGCAGCCTGCAGGAGGTGAACGCAAAGCCCTGCATAGTCAAGTGGCATAGCTTACCCTGGGCTATGGGGTGTCCCCACCCCCCCAGTGGCCCAAGACTGCCACATGCAGTGAGCCATATTCTCCTCCATACCCTGAAATATTTCCTTTGGCATCTAGTGCTGAAAGGAATGGTGGGGAAGCAAAGGAAAGATATATAAATGGCAGAGGCGGGATTAAAGCAATCCTGTTGTTTTGCCCTTAAAAGAGATCTATGAGGTGAGTGATATTCAGTTCGAGCCGACGTGTGATAATGAAACTGTCACACGACGGCTCAATAGATCGGAAAGTGAGCGAACACATACCATCGCTCGCTCACTTCTCGATCATCTCCCTGCAGAGAGCCGTGCCTGTCACTCACGGCTCCCTGCAGGGATTCCCCCCCCC